TTGAATTATTTCAGGATCCGGACGGTTTCCATACAAGAGCTTGAAAACGTGAATTTTTCTTAAAATAAAGCTCGAGAGGTTTTCCATTCTTTGTTGATATATACTGAAAAGTTTCTGTTTCTAATTTCGCACGATCCCTTACAACAGGGAAGGCTTTTAGTAGGGCAGTCTTGAAATTTTCGTAAGTATAGGTGGGACTTCCTGCTTGACCCAAGAGACTTCTGCCGATACATTTGAACCAGTTAAGCGCTTGGCCCCTCAAAGCGCTGGTAGCTAAGGTAACTTTTTGAAACTCGTGCACGGGGTAGAGCATGAAGTGGTCATCCAATTTTTCCAAAAAACTGGTTACCGGTGAGTTTCCATTAAACGTTGCTTCTGGTTTCATCGAAGCGCGCATGGTCTGGACGATGTACCCAAATCCTTCCAGGGCGGCAGCTGGCATTTCTGGATTCTGAGCCTGTTTCTGCAGGCAGCACAGGTTCTTCTTGAAACTCGGCCATGGTTATTCTTCTTCGTTGGGCGCCACTATCAGGTTCAATGTTTTCTTCTAACCTTCTTCGGAAACATACAATGACCTGACTAGAACAGAGAGCTTACTAAAGCTATGTTCACTAATTGTAGTAAGTAGACAGGATACAGACGAAGGGTATACAAAACCCTTTATTTTTTCTTTATATACAATGACTTCCGTACTTCGGAATACACAATGACCCTCCACTCGGGGTCTAACGTAAAAGATATCAAAATAAAACTAAACTCTAATTTAACTTTAGAATAAGATTGGCCTTATAATAACAGGAAAGCGTATGTAGCACAGAGACTGTGAACACTACAATACGTTTTTAATTTATCAAGAGGATTAAAACCTCTGGCCTGGAAGGCAAAGTAGCAACTGCGTAACTTCTAAGGTAAGCGGCCTGCTTCGAACTCACGGCTTCCTCTCTTCTGCTTGGCAAAAAGGCCACACTTAAATACTTGGCGTTCGCCAGACAAACTTTGCATAAACTCCTTCACGCTTATAATTCTGGCCGGAAGTAGAAAATAAGAAGTGATAGTAAAGATTTAAAATAAAATAAACGTTAGTAAAACTTTAAGTACAAAAAGAAAAAAGTTACGTTGGTACAAAGGGCTTCGTTAAAAAATTTAAAAAGGATATTTTTGAAATTGACAGAGATATAATTCCCGCAGTGTGACAAGTGTGGCTGCAGGAGTTCGGAATTGCTCACAGCATCGTTTCACGACTTTGTAGACAATTTCAAACTACAGGAACAGCTATTCGGGGGTTTAGTAGTGGTCGTCCACGAGGAACCACACCCGCAGATGACCGGTATATTACAGGCCAGAAGAAACAGGCGGCAGACAGCGGGAGAAATCGCTTGACACACGACACAGGCGACTGGACGACCGATATCGCGTTTTACCGTGGCCAGAAGACTGCACGGTGGTGGTCTGTTTGCACGACGCCCTGTACGGTGTGTACCTCTAACGCCTGCCCATCGGAGAAGGCGTTCTCTATGGTGCCAGGAACACCGGAATTGGAGAGACAATGAATGGGGACGAGTACTCTTTACAGATGAGAGCTGATTCAGTCTGAGTAGCGATTCTCATCTACTCATCTGGAGAGAGCGGTGAAGCCGCAATCATCCCTCGAACATCATTGAAAGGGACAGGTATGGAGAACAGGTATGTTCTCGTTTGGGGAGGCATCATGCTTGGTAGTCGTACAGACCTTCACATCTTCGACGCAGGTTCAGTCAACGGGACCCGTTATTGTAACGAGATTCTTCTTCCATATGTGCGTCTTTTTAGAGGCGCTATGGGTCCGCAGTTTCTTTTCATGGACGATAATGCACCATGTCATCGCACAGTAGCTGCCGAACAGCTCTTAGAGAGTGAGGATATTGAACGTATGGATTGGCCGGCACGATGTCCGGATCTCAATCCCATCGAGCATGTATGGGATTTTCTAGGCAGACGCTTGGCAGCTCGTACCTTACCACCAGTAACGATTCCGGAGCTTCGATTGGCGCTGCAAGACGAATGGGCAGCAATGCCTCAACAACTCATTGACACCCTTATTCTCAACATGGGCAGACGCTGTGAAACCTGCCTAGCAGTCAGGGGAGATCATATCCCCTATTAAAGACCGGATGTTTCTTGCTGGACACCCATCACAGGGATCTTTCGGCCTTCAGTCGCATTGCGCTCCATGCTACTTTTTAAATAAAGCTTCTTTTTATCCCTCTGATTTCTCTTTTAGTAAGTGTTGCTTACATTACTGATGTCCTTACGTATAGGGGATCTTACGGTATTAAATGTGTTGATTTGGAAAGCTTTTGTACAAAGTTATATTGAAAAAACCGTCTCGTCCTTAATTTTTGCACGCCAGTGTAAATCTCCATAAAGATTTGCCATCACTTTCCAGAAAAAGGATGATGTACACTCTGCCAAAAAAGTTCTATATCTCCGTTTTACTGGGCCGATTGTTGAAATTTAACTTGCGTTTTTCAGGTCTCGAAAGCACGACTTAGGATACATATTTTATATAGCATTGCTTTTAACCAGGTCTGTGGAGTCGATAGGGAAAATGACCGACTCCGACTCCCTCACATGTAAACATATACGCATAGGTTACAGCATATTTTTTTTAATGTAAAAGAAGTAATAGATGCTATAGAAAAAAATTGATGGCATAGCAAATTATTTATAATTATTAACATTTATTATGAAATGGAAAAACTGACTTTAGCTATTTTTAAGAAACAGTATAGCTTCGGCAAAATCTTCTTTGTTCGAGGGCCATAGATTCGATTTGATAAACTTCAGAGCTGAAAAGAGTCTTTCCACACTAACTTGATTAGGAGCTGTTATTGTCAGGGCTACTTCTTTTAACTTTTAAGGATAGATTTTTATAAGTTCTAAAAGAGGTGTCTCGTGCAAGCACAATCATATTTCTCTATTTCTTCAAAGGCCATGTAGAAATCTTGTTTGTATTTTTTTTTTTTTTTTTTTCATTTCTAGTTCTTAGTTTTTATTTTCATTCGCTTTGTCTTAGCCTTTTCAATATTATCGAAAAATATTTCTCAAAATCTAATTCATCACTGGAAGAGGATGATAGAGACTCAATTGCAATGTCTGCAGTTTGACTGTCCTGATTCGAATTCTCTAATTGTTCTGAGAATAATTTCATTCTTAATGAAAGTTCATAGATGGCTTTCTTAGCGGTTTTAATTTGTTCGTCATCTAAGAAAATTCGGTGTTTCGGATCTACATATCATAAACCCAGCAAGATCTCATTGTCTAGCAAACTAGTTTCTCTTTTCTTCATTGAAGAAATGATTCCTTCTGCAATAAGGCCTCCATTTCAGAAATAATTCAGAAATAATAATTTTTTTTTTTTTTTTTTTTTTTTTTTTTGTGCCTATATATGGTGTAGAAAGAAAAGTTTGCAATTCTGCAAGACCATTCCACAGTCTTTCTGTTAGTGAAACATTAGGGTTATCTACATCTTCTAAAAAAGTTCTTAATTCTAACAACCTCTTTATCATCAAATATGTACTTCCCGATCGCGTTGCTTGATCAATAATTGCTCCTTTTTCTGCTCGCTTCCTAAGAATGGCATCGATTTTGGGAGTTCTTGCTGCTATTCATGCTTAGCTAAATTTACCAATGATATTTGTAGCTAAATGAATAGGTTTAATGACTAATGGCAAATATCACATCCATCCTCCTCCCTTATATTTATTTATTAATATGTCAATAAAATAGAAAATAACTCAGCTTGTCATTAATTTTTTTCAATTCATTTTAATTTCATTTCAAATTCAAACTTCCTAACAAAAACTCATGAGTGAGTCGGAGTCGGCCTGTTTTTAGCGACTCAAACTCCAACTTCTGTTACCCCAAAATCTGCCAGACTCCGATTCCAACTCCATTACTCCGACCTCCACAGCCCATCCGTCCTCCGATAAACTTGTCCCATAACAAGAATTAATCCCAAGAAATTCTTCATATTTTTCCATTTGAGGACTTTCTTGGAAGTTGTGAATTTATCTTTGACTCTTCTACAAGAAATGTAAAATATCATCGCCAATAAATAAAACTACAGCATCCACTAAAGACTTACAAGATTGGGGGTTTGTCTACTGACGACCATTCTTCTTAAGAATCAGAATCACCCGAATCTGGGCTCCAATCAGAACTGCTTGAAATTCTTCGTGGGATAATTAGTCTCAAGACGATGTATAATATCGTCTTCACTAGAATCATTATCGATAACCTCGTCCACGCAATTCGACAAACTATCTGCACACAATTCTTAATCATCACATTCTACTTTATTATTGTCCATCCTTAGGAATTTACTGTAAAAAAGTCAAATTAGGCTGGGAACACCCGAGAGTTAAATCGATGTTTCTAGGGATGAAGGTGAATTATGCGGACGTACTTGTGGACAACGTACGAGCAGGGTGCGCTTCACGAAATTGGCTGTATAGAGTGCGTCCGCCGCTCAGTTTCCTATATTTATGTCAATGCATATCTGGAAACTCCGGTGTCGAATGGTATGTTCGTCGTAGCATAACAGCGTCAGCAAAGTCCATTCACAGGAATGCATTTTTGCAATGCACGTTTTAATGCTGAAATGCGTTGACCTAGTGCTCATGTGTACCCGACCTTATTGAAAAAAATTATAAAAGCCCACCGATAACAATAATCTATCAATAATTCGTAGAAAATGACTTTTGTCGTCGCCGGCGCTCGACTACTAATCCGCACAAAATGACTTTAGTCTCTTCCCGTGCAAGATTTGTTACGATATTTCAGAGATAATATATTTTATGCTACGATTAAAAATATGAGAATCTCGGTGTGAAAACAGGAAATAATTTCGGCAACAATGTTTATAAATAAATACCTAGAGGGCCATAGATCGATTTTCGATATCATTTTAAGTAAACTTGATAAATTAGTCTTTGTTGATATAGTTCCTCTTTTTACAGTTACGATAAATGCTCGGAGATGATTAATCATCTTCAAGATGCTTACCAGCAAAGAGGAGATAGCGTTTCCGAGGCCATCTATTATATGATTCTTGTAAAGTTTCTTAGAATTTCAGGTATGCACCATATTTTATATTTATCAGTCCCATTAATCTTAGCAAATACTTAATTTAGACTTAGTAACTTCTTACAGATGCCCCTTCCGCGCGTACTGACAGAATGGTGATGTGCTGCGAATATGCAACTCGTTGTGCTGTCGTTTCTTCTCATCCCAAATATGTTAACAAATTATTTTGCTTGAATGCAGAGATGGCGTTATGGTAAGATACATTTCCAGCATCGCACCTAAGGAAATTAAGACATCTAAAGACTTAAGCTTGAAAGTAGTAACCCTAATGCACTCTCTAATGTTGCATACCTGTACGATAAATGTATAGCACATTATTTCAATTATCGTGAATATTTTGTATGTTGCCATCCTGTAATCGCAGCATACGCGGAAACAAGTAATACCTGCGCAACATCGGCTGACGCCAAGTGGCATGCTGCCGCAAATGCACACAGTGGATAAGTACTACAAAACGATGCAATTTAAATTTGCTAACCAATTTTTTTTAAGACTCTCCTTCAACACATTTGAAGACTAAGTAATTTAGCGACATGCAAATTGTTATAATACTTAATATTTATATCAGCAGATCTTCGAGAAAATAAAATTATCAAGAATTTAAAAAATTTTTCATATTTATATCAATTATTTCGCTCGCAAGACATATAAGTACTGGATGTAAAACATTAAATTTACGGTGGCAGCGCATTTCATAAATCTTCAATTTAAAACTGAATATGAGTTTTTATGCGTCCCAATATATCAGAATTTTTCGCCCTTGATTACTTTTCTTCCATCATAGGTTGAATTTCGTATGCAGTCATACACAATACGTCTACAAAGTTTTAGGACTGAATTTTTTCGATCACTCCCGACCAAGCTGCTAGACATTAATTTAACTACTATTACAGCTCAACTAGTTTTCATTAAAATAATGTCTGTTTATTATATAAGTTTAGATGAAAGCTTTTGTTTGATTTTATGCAGTCGATGTCCACTGCTATGTATTTGGATATGAAGAGGAATATGAAGTAGCGTTTGTTTTACACAGAGCATTTTAATAATGAACTCCTCGAAACATCCAGACCACCAGCGGCCGAGCGGTAAAAAATCGCTGAACACCGGTAGTTCCGATGTGGATTCGATTCCAGGCGAATGGGCTGGCTGCATGGGCGTTTCCGTTGTTTTTCCCATGTGTATCGTGTATACGAGCCATTTTCCCTTAGAATATCCCCCACGAAGGTATTCCTTCCCTTAGGCAGATAGCCCTAGTGCTTTGTCATAATCAACTGAACCAAAACCAAACCTACAAAACATCCAGAATGTCTTATAAACATGCCTAGATACGTACAGCATTAGAAGGTAAGAAGAACGGAAAGCAATGATAAAATTATAACCTTTATGCCTTCGGTCTTAAAGTTTTTAGACTAACTTTAAATTAAAGATTTTCATTGATTTATAACTGCCATTTGCTTGCCCTTTCACAACTGAGAGGAAACTTTACGTCAGCGTTAGAGCTGTTACGCAAAAAATGATAAGATTAGGTATAATATAATATGAAGCTGTTCTACAAGTGGCGGCTTTTAAGACATATGCCTGTAAACTGGTATCTCGCATATATCATTCTTCAGAGCAACTTACCAATAAATTAAACGTTACCAAATTTCAAAACGATTCAGTCTCTTCTAAAAATATGTATTTGACTGTCCTACAATAGCAAACTGAGAAAAAAAAGGGGGGGAAGAAAAAAATGTCGACGAAATAAAGTAAAAAATTTTTACCTAACTTAATACAATGCAAAAACCATTATATAGAATATTTCACAAAGAATTCATCATTAAATACTTCGTATATGCATGACAAAAATGCACCTCATAAAAATCTGCAACAATCTATCTTAGAACTCGTAGTTCCCGTTTTAAGAATAAATCAAGTGAGTTTATTTTAATCAGTTAACTTGATAAGAGTAAAAGAGATAACTTGTTCAAATTGAAATCAGTTATCTTCATAAAGTCCGTAAATAAATACGGCAAAGCATGTGAAAGCTATCTGCCAAAGGAAAAGGCTTCCCTTCGTAGACAAACTTGTTCATATTTGCGTTACACATGAGGAAAACTATGAAAGCATTTAGTGCAGCCAATCCATTGTCAGGATTCAGACAATCAATGTTCAGGCACTTGTGGGTCGAGTCAGCCACTAACAGACTTCGTGGGGGAGTACAGTAATTTTGATCACGTGATTGGTATGGGAAAATTATACTTTTATACAGACCCTGTGGAAAAATTATCTTGATAAAAAAAATATATTTATAACCAAACTAATTAACTAAAACTAAACAAACGTAAAAATATTACAATCAAAATTATTTGAAATATCGTCATTTTAAAAGTAATGGTTAAATGTAGACTGTTAAAGATTGTCAAAATAAATTTTAGAATGTGACTTTTTACTCCTGAATATATTAAATAGAAGCTTTAATTATTTTTTCTCTCCCTAACTCGAAAATTTATGTTTAGGAAATTTAATTAGTTTTATATAGTGTCTTAAAGTCAATTATTTGCGCCCTCATCTCTTTTGTTTAAGCAAAATAGCTTAAGTTTTGCAATTTTGATACATTTATCGGTGTTAATTTTTTATATTATGTAGACTGTATTTTCAAAAAAAAAAAAAAAAATCTTGACTGTGACGAAATGAAATTAATTAAAAACCTACTCTATAGAGAAAACGCGTAAAAATTTTAATTTTGTATATTTTGATTACACTAAAACTGTTTTTTTTAAATCAAGCCATGAATCTACGACCAAACATTTAAGGAATCAAGAGATCTTTTTGAATGTGCACATTATTCATGTTGTATTTTCTATAACTATTGTCAAATACATGCTATATCAGATTACATTCTTTCTACAGAGTTAAAAAATCCTCGGCCTCCCACGATAATAAATGTTTGTGTGTTTTAATTTGGAAATTCATCCCCCCCCCAGGTCGCAGGAAAACAATTTGCGTGAGGCATGTGGAGTATGGTACGAACGTGCCAAAAATCTGCAAAATCAAATTCGTCTTGACAATTATTGGGCTTCATCTGGTTCGCTTTGTCTGATCAGAACGAACACCTTAAAACTCCAGGAAAAGTTTTTTGTTTATACGGAACAAGAGGCATCTTCCATCAAGCACAAAATGCAAAAGGTGAGTGGCATGCAGTTTAAAATGTTACGTTAAGCATATACAATATTGGCCATTGAAATTACACTCATGAAAGAAATCTGTAAAATACATACATCAGAATGTGTAATGATAATAATTTACGATTAGGATTAGAAACGGGGAAGACGGGCACCACACCATTTGGTTAATTGATTTAACGCCGTCTCCCCACTATGTGACTTCAGCCACTTATTGATATTATCAAAACAAATACATAATTTGGAATGATACATAGTTTGGAATTTAATACAAAAATCTGGAGCATAGTATATAAAATAATATAATAATAAATGTACAGAATTTTAAATATAACACAAAAATTTTAAACATAATATATGACATAAGTCCTTAATATATATGTTACCGTGAAAGACCGAAATTGGAGAATGTCGACTTTCACCGGAGAATGTCACCAAATACATCGGTGAAAGATCGAATATTGCATTACATTCTTGTACATTCGGACCCTCACCGGTGTATGTCGACAGTCACAGATATGTTCTGGTGCAGGTCCAAAAGAGAGGTCATAAAGTGTCATATTAGTTTAAATTGTTGCAATAAATAAGATTTTAATCACATAATTTAGTAAGTTTTTTATTACTATTATTTTATTTTCTCATTTAGAATGTACTGTATAATTAAGTAAGTTTTTAACTTCTATTATTTTCCTTTCTCATTTTGAATGTATCGTGTGTTTTAAGCTCTTATATTCTTAAGTTCTTATTTTAACTCTCAAGTGTGTTTTTTCGCACTGAATTACGGAGAAGAAAATATAATATTCTTATATGTTGAACATTTACCATTAGTACATGGTGAATGTCGACATTTACCGGTGTAAGTCATAAATAAGAGTATTTGGAAAATATTTCGGACATACAACAAGCGACTATAGGTGGTTGTTGACATTCACCGGTGAAAGTCGACATTCTCCAGATTTCGGTGTTTCACCGTAACATATATACGTAATTTTGAGCATATAAGACGAAAAGAAATAGTAGTAATGAAGAGTAGTTTACGAAACATATCAATATGATATTGTAAGATCTATCTTTACTTGTCCACATACACTAACTTAGATCCTACAATGAACCTGGCGAATTCTCCCACAGGCGTCAATTAAATACCAGAAGAAGGGAGTAAAATAACCTTTTATTAACTCAAATTAAATTAACAAAAAGCACGGACTTTGTGCGTTACAAAACACCATTCACTTGCGGCGATAACTAAACGTAGACTAGAATACAAATCAAAAAATCTGAAAAATAAACGAGTTCAAGAACGCACTTCAAAATTACTCCTAAGAGATGGACTCACAGAAATCTAACCGGCGTGATGTTAAACAGATATGGCCAAGAGGCTTAATAGCATGACCGCGAAACGTGCGCTAGGATAGCAAAACATGCTCTGAATAAACTGAGAATATCATACGTTTAAATAGCACTTCACTTAACTTTAAATTTACATCCTGGCGAGAGAATGTAAGGGGAAGTTTGAGAACAGGAAACTTAAATAAAATTGTTCGGCAAATAAGAAAACCCCTACATATGATGTTTCATAGTAATATAGTATGAAATATATGTAAATCTATGTTCAAAGTTTATAGTTCAAAGCCACAAAAGCTCCCATTCGATAATTTTAATATACAGTTGTGTGTTTTAATTTGGAAGTCATCCCCCCCCCAGGGATACTAATTCAGAAGTCAAACAACAAAAATCAGCGTTATATTTACAAAATTTTCACAGGACTAGTTTCGATGGGTTTACCGAACCATCATCCTTCAGCTGCCAAAACCGCAAATGAAACAAGATAGGAAATAATGTTTAGATAAGATAAGAAAGCCTGGACAAGAATAAGCAAGTGGCGCCATCTGTTGGCGAAACCAGAACTAAAACATAATTTCTCTAAAAGCCGAAGGCAAATTTGGATTGGAATTAGGATCGTTAACTAGAACAGAAAGATTTTTATGAATGTGAAATGCCTCTAGAAAATCCAGTTCTCCAATGGAAGATGTTTTTTGAATAATTTTGGCAGCAGAAAAATTGAAAGTGTGATTTTCGGACCAACAATGTTGAGCAACAGAAGACTTCTGTGTTTCCTTTTTTCTAACATATGCCTCATGTTCTTTGACGCGAAATTTTAAGGCTCTCTTAGTTTGGCCAATGTAAATTAAACCACACTGGCAAGGAATCCTATAAATACCCCAGGAATTCATATCCGGAATGGGGTCCTTGAGTATAGAAGTTGGAATTTTATTGATGGGAGAAGTAAACAACCCGAAAGTTAAATTTCTGCAAAATATGTGCAACTTTATAGCTAATTGATGGAAAGAAGGGAATGACAACAGAATTTTTATAATCTCCTAAAATAAGAGTGTGGCTTTTAGTGTGTTGAGATGAGAATTTTTTAACTGCTTGATTAATAATGTTGGGTGAAAAAGCCCCTGTCAATAGCTATTGCTTTTAAATAATTTAGTTCTTCATCAAGGGCTAGTTTGGAGGAGCAAACTTGAAGAGCACGGAAAACAATAGGAATAAAATGAAGCTAACTTTTGTTTAGTCGGATGACATGATTTAAAGTGTGGTGGAAGGCAAACCGATGAAGGTTTACGGTAAACTGTAGTACTGAAGTTGGATGTGTTACGTGTGACCAGAATGTCGAGAAACGGAAGAGAATTGCAAGTCTCAAGTTCAAAAGTGAACTGAATAGCAGGATCAATAGAATTCATTGTTGAAAGAACTTTATTTAAATCATCTTTATTACCTTCAAACAGGGTAAAAGTATCGTCTACGTAGCGGAACCATGCCGGGAAGTTTAAAGTTTCAAACAATTTTGATTCATAATAATGCATGTAGATATCAGCCAGGATGGGACTGAGGGGGCTTCCCATGGCTAATCCCTCAGTTTGCTTGTAATATTATTTTGGAAAACAAAATGTGTTTGTTTCAAACAGAGTTGAGTGAGAGAAATTAGCTCATCAATTTCGATGCAAGAGAAATGAAATTCGCGAAGTCTGGTTTCTAGACATCTTAATGCACCCTCCACTGGGACATTGGTGAATAATGATTTTACATCAAAAGAAACCATGAGTAAATTACGAGGAGAAATGTTTTTTAACCTTTTTTACAAACTCTATTGAATTTTTTATGGTGTAAATGTTATTGTCTAATAGAGTGGAAAATCTAGAAACTAAATATTTAGCTAATGGATACGAGGCAGTACCTAAATTTGATACAATAGGGCGGAAAGGAATACCACTTTTATGAATTTTGGGAACATATAATCTGGCACAATTCGCAACAGATGGGATAAGCGAATGTTTTAAGTTGCTTGAAATGATTTGCGAAGATTTGATCGCAGTTTTTATTTTGGAGAAGTCTGAAGGTGAAGGATCTTTAGGTATCGGATTATATGGTCCTTCGTTTAAGAGTTTAGTGACACCATCAATGTAAGTGTTCTTATCCATGACGACTATCTGGCCACCTTTGCATGCCTTTGAAATGATAATATACGGGTTAGAATGAATTCGCGCATTGTAGCTCTTTCTCTCACAGTTAGATTTGGTTTCAAAGGTTTATTATGAATTTCACATTATGAGCGATAAGATGCCTAATCATTTCTTTCTGTGAATCTGAAACTTTACTGAACTTGAAAGCTTTTTCGATAGGAGCCAAATCTTTGGAATCGAGGTTTACAGGTTTGTGAGAAGTTAAAATTATATTTTAGAATTCTCTCTTGTTCTTCTGAAAGACTAACATTAGAAATATTAACTATTGGCTTGATGTTTACAATGGGAAGATTTTTTTGACTACTTGAACTGGAAGACTGTAAAAAGAAGTTTTTCGAATATAACTGCAAGGGTTGTTTTTATGACGGTTAACTGCATTCTCCGTTCTAGACCAAGACTTTTGTTCAAGGGCAGTGAATTTTGGATATGTTTTAGGCGAGTTCCAGATGAAGCTTATAGAGTTCATGTTCAATTTTGACAATTGTTGACGTGTATCCCTTATGACGGACCGAAGTAAGGCAAGCTTGCAATTTAACAGAATTCTTGAAACGCGACTCGAAGGTTTTTGATTAGATTTGATTTGAATAAAATTGGGGATCAATTTTTTACATTTACATTTAAGTAAAAAGTCAAGATGATTCAGGAATTTTTGCCGTTTCAGGCGTAATTTAGTGAAACGATTAACGGATGAAGGCATGATAAACAATGCAGAAAATCAAACTAAATAACGCAATAATAAAGCACATACAAAACAGCAGAAAAAACTTTCACTGAAATGAATAGAAAACAAAACGTTTGTAACCAAAATGCCATGAAATCAGACAAGCAAAGCACAATATCCAAATGTACAAAACATAAACAGAACTAGAAAATTGCAAAAAAATGTACTTACCGAAACCATTACAATCACAAAATGGCGGCCACAACCACTGCAAAAAGAAAAGCAAAATAAGCCTGTTTGGGGCTTCTATAATTAAGACACAATAACACGCCGATAAATACTAATTCAGAAGTCAAACAACAAAATCAGCGTTATTACAAAATTTTCACAGGATAGTTCAGGTTTTTACCGAACCATCATCTTTCAGCTGCAAAACCGCAATGAACAAGATGGGAAATAATGTTAGATAAGATAAGAAAGCCTGGACAAGAATAAGCAAGTGGCGCCATCTGTGGCGAAACCAGAACTAAAACATAATTCTCTAAAAGCGAAGGCAAATTGGATGGAATTCGGATCGTTAAAGATTTTTATGAATGTGAAATGCCTCTAGAAAATCCAGTTCCCAATGGAAGATGTTTTTTGATAATTTTGGCGCAGAAAAATTAAAGTGTGATTTTCGGACCACAATGTGAGCAACAGAGACTTCTGTGTTCCTTTTTTCAACCTATGCCTCATGTTCTTGACGCGAATTTAAGTCTCTCTAGTTTGGCCAATGTAAATTACCGTGGCAAGGAATCCTTAAATACCCCGGAATTC